GGAGTGTGGTGTGGTGTGGGGGGGAAGGGAAGCGGCGCCCCGGGATGCAAGGAGGGAGATGGGGTCCTGCTGCTGCTGCGGCACCGAGTCTCCCCAGGGCAGCGCTGTACAGGGTCCCGCCGGGCTGGGCAGGGGGCACGGATCCCAGCTCGCGCTGACAGCGTGAGTGGCTGGGCCAGGGCCGGCTCCCGGCAATGCCGCCCCAGGCAAAAAAAAATAAAAATAAAATAAAAAAGGGGGGCCGGAGTGCCACCTCTTAGAAAGTGCCGCCTCAAGCACATGCTTGGAGGGCTGGTGCCTAGAGCCGGCATTAAAAAGGGGAAGTGGCATAAAGCCCCAGTGCTATCTTTATGCCACCAATGGATGATCCTTGCCCTGGGGCAGTGGTTCCCAAACTTTAACAACCTGTGAACCCCTTTCACTAAAACATTAAGTCTTGCAAACTCCCTCCTAAAAATGAATATTTCCAGGGATTTTCTCCTTTACCTGAGTATAAATTATAAAAGCAGTAATCTTGGAAATATAAAATTTGTTTTTCTGACATGCTTATTACACACTATTTATTATTAATTATTATTTATCATTACAGTATTTTTATTACATAACAAAAACGGCAACACTCTTCCAAGATCTCACTTTCGTAGGTTGTATCACTTTGAATAAGCCTGTTATAAGACAAGGTTCCTATGTTTCATCAAGGAGTATCAGATGTGAAACAGCATGAAGGTATTTAAGAAGCCAACTCAAAGAGTTCCTCCTACACAAGCATTCAGGTCTTGAGCAGTCCAGGCAAACAATGCATGTTACAACAAAGCTTAAACTTGCTCTTCATAATAATTTAAAAAACAATACTAGCTGCCTATTTAATTTTTAAAACAGCAAAAAATATCCCCCTTCCTTTCCATTTCTTATAAGGAGGCTTGAAGTTAAATCTCCTCAGTGTAATAGATATGCTTGCTTTGATCTGCTTAGCTCTTGGAAGTCCAGGGGCCGGGCCGGGCTGCTGGCCCCATGCTGCCCGGGATCCCTAGGGACAGCTCTGTCCGCCATTAGGGAATTTTCTCCCAAGAACCCCCATAACATTTCGCGAACCCCCCAGGAGTGCACTAACCTCATTTTGGGAACCACTGCCCTGGGGTGACTCTTCTCATGCTGGTTAAGCCAGCTTCTGAGCCAAATTCTTCTGGAGGTGTGGCATAAACTGACTGCCCCAGAGAATCTGGCCTGATATCTTTACAGGCTCTGGTAAGGTTAGCACACTATTAAGGCCATCTAAAACATCCTGCCATCAGTTGAAGCACTACTATTTTCTCCACTGTTATAAGAGAGAGTTTTAGTTATCCACAATGCTCACTGAAAAGGAACTTCATTTCTATTAAAGTGTTTTGATGGCACCAAAACAACTTTTACCCTTAAAAAAAAAAAAACACCAAAGAGACTATTCACACTAGCAAAGACACTCATGTGTAAGTATCTGCAGGGTCAGTCCCTAAGTTTGGGCCTAACTGATGTCCATAGGAGTATTCACATGAATAAAGTTATTCACACAGGTAACTGCAAGGATGGCCCTTTCTGAATTTACTTTACTTTGTATTGCTTATTTTTAGTTATTTATTTTGTGGTTTATTTCTGGAGTGCTGTATGATAGCATTTGGCGACCATTACATAGGGACAAAATACAATCTTAAACTACTGAATAAGGACCTGATTGTGCACTCTTCATTCAGGCAAGTAGCGTGGGATTGAACCCAAATCCTGCGAACACTGACATGGATGAGTAACTTTATGAATGGGACTTCAGTGGGAATACTCATGTGAGTAAAATGAACCATGTCAAAAGTATTTGGGAGCAATGACACTACTCCCTGTGTGTGTGTGTGTGTGGGAGGAGGGGGGGGTCGGTGTCTTGGTCATCACTTATTAACAGTATTTAAAGCCATAAACATTTGGCATAAAATAATTATATTAAAAGAGAATGTGTTCTAGTGAAACACATTTGAAAATAATTGTGTTTAATTGGTAAATTCGGCCCAGACCCTACATCTTGATCAACTAAGATAGATACCAAGTCAGCGAGGCTCCAGGAGAGCATGGAGAGAGCTTCTTGCAGGATCTGATGCTTTCATCTAATATAGACAAATTACCCCCGTAATGATTCAGCCAATTCCCATTGACTACTCACATACTTAAAGCCGGCATGTGCTTAAATACCTTGCTGAACTGAGGTCTTGCATTCTAATTATTGTATTAATGAAATATGTTTAAAATACTGTGATTATAACACAACAAATAAAACAAAAAAGAGCAATGAGAAATGTTTAAAGAATTAAGACAACATAACATTTGGGTTCCTTTTTTTTTCTTATTTACACTGTACATGGTACATTTCTACACTGATACTGTACCCATTGTGTGCACTTCTAAATAAAACAATCAAATGATTTGCTTGAAATGTTGTTTATGATTGCTCAGTTAATTTCAACATTGTGAAACAAAGGGATTAAAACTGCACAAATATTCATCTCAGAATATTAATATTTAAAACAACAGTTTTGCCATGCAGGGATGTAGCAGATCAAAATTAAACAATTACACTAAGCTATGACAGTTTGGGAAATCTGAGCTTAGGTCTGGTCTACACTGCAGATTTCAGCCATCCCTCCCCTACCCATCTGCTACCCCTAGCTTAGACACAGTACATTACTATAAACTGTGATTTGCACTGATGCAGTTGACCCTTGCTTGAAATCAGAGTAAACTGCACTGGTGCACATCAAGGCTTATGGTGTCTTTGCCTGTCTATGCAGAATTTCACTTGGGGGTTGATCCTGCAATCAATAGGAGTTTCTCCACTGACTTGAGCAGCAGCAGGATCAAGCCTTTGGCGGCTGTCTAGAGCTGGCTGAAATCAGGGCAAATCTCCAGTGTAAACTGGGGTGGCCAGCAGTATATAAAAGAATTTAAACAATATTGCACCTGATTCTACCCTCACTTATACTGATGTCAGCCAGGTGTAATTCCAGGGAGTTGCACGAATGTAAATGGAGGCGTTGGCAAGGTCAGATCAGATTCAGGCCCCTTGTAAAGTTGCATCACGTGTTTTTTCCCCACCAGAACACAACAGCCCAGGTGCATGGTGAGTTACACCAGCCAGCCATTCCCCCGCTGGAGGCGGACACCTGCCAAGCCCGTCTGAAGATCAGGATCAAAGCAGTTGTGTTCTGCGGGCGAGGGGGCAGGCTGCTGCCAGTGCCGCTGGCCGCCTTTTGCCAGGGAGAAGGAGGAGGAGGCGGCCGCGGGGTCCTTTAGTGTGTCCGTAGACTGGTTATAAGCAAAGTATGTGAAGAGCAGCTGGTGGAGGGGACACAGGGGGGGGGGGGCGCTGGCGGCCCCCGGGATTCCCCCCTCCCGGCCCCGCTGCCCTCCACATGCGAGGACAGCTGGGGGACGGGAGCCTTTGCTTGTCTGTGCAACGTTCGCACCTCCCAGCCTCTGGCTCGTCCCCGCCCGGCGCCCCAGTTTAGCCCCGGCACATGGGCGGATCGCGCCCCCCGGGAACGGAGCTGGAGTAGCGGCCTCCGGCGCCCCGCTGCACCCCAAGCTGGGCTAACGCAGCTCGGCGGCCGCCGAACCCCGGCCAAGGCGCCAGCGCCTTTGCCCCTCCTGGCTGGCGGGCACCTGGGGGCGCTCAGCGGGCTCGGGACCCCCCGCCCCAGTTGGGCGCTCTCCGCCCAACCCCCGCGGACTCACCGCTGCTCAGCTCGGCGCCGAAGACAGAGAAGGCGGCGGAGTCGGGGGGCAGGAGGGGGCAGTCCCAGCGCTCGTGCCTGAACTGGCTCCGGCACTCCTGGATGCCCAGCCGCGCGCCCTCGCGGATGCTGGGCAGCAGGTGGGGCTTCCTCTTGCACAGCTCCTTCTGGCGGCCGCTCAGCGGCAGCCCGGCGCAGCCCAGCTTCTCCGGGACCCCGAAGGAGGCGATGCCCAGCCACCTGCGGAACCAGCCCGGGAGTGAGAGCCAGGCAGCCGGAGTCTCTCGGCCACAGAAATGCCCCCTCCCCCGGCCGCCCCGCCAGCCCCATCGCTGCCCGCCAGCCCGCCCCCGACTCACATCCAGTTCCCGTGGGCGCAGCAGGGCCAGAGCGCTAGCAGCAGCGCTGCCCACCGCACGCACAGGCGAGGCAAGTCACAGCCAGCCCTCCCCATGGAGGCAACCCGCCGGCCCTGCCCCGCACAGCCCGGGCCAGCAGGTGACAAGCCCCGGCGGCAGCTTCCCCTTATTCTGCCTCTTTCTTTGCTCCGAGGCCGGAGAGAGAAGCCTGGGGGCAGCCGCGGGAGCGCAGGGCTGGGCAGAGGTGCCTTCGCGTCAACGTGAGCAGGTTCCTCTTGGACTTCTCCATGCCCAGCCTTCTCGGGCCCTCCAGCCGCGCCTGGCCGCTCATTGGCCCGCGGCAGCTCATGAATATTAGAGAGAGCGCCCATTGGTCCGGCGAGCTCGCGGGGCAGGGGGTTGGCAAGGGCTCGCCATCCAGGGGGCGCTCCCGCGCGGGATACAGTGTCTGAAACCGTCTCCAGGGGAGAGGCAGGGTTCGCTCGGGGAGACGGACGCGGCGTCTGTGTGCGGGTCCCGGCCTCTGATCTGGGAGAAAGCCAAGGGGCTCGGCTGTGCGACAGGTGTCCCCATAGCGCCCAGCTCCGTAGAATGGACTGCACTGAATGCGCTTCCCTTCCTCCGCAGGACTGGCTGCTGAAGTTGTTTCCCTTTGATGGGGGATTCTAATGCCACCAGCGCGTGTGACAATAAGGGTGGAGTTAGGTGGCTTATAAAGGAGACACTTACTAACACTCTGTATTTTAAACCAGCAATGAGGGGAAAGGAAGGGAAGACAAAGTGCACCATACATATATTAATAATAATTTGCAGCTACTTTGCATTTTATTCAAGGATCCACACACACTTTACTAACATTAACTAATTGACCCTCCAGTTCTGCATGAGGGTCCACTTATGCAGCCCTTGACTTCAATAGGACTCCACACAGGTCCAGGGATCCAAACTAGTGGATCCCATTCCAGTAACAGGGCCTTACTTTTGGCAAGGGGGCATCATTATAACTATTCACAGGTAAGTAAACTAAGGCACAAAGAGAGTTGGAGACTTGACCAAATTGTCACACCATGTCAGTGCCAGAACTAGGCATAGAAGTTGTCAGTTCTGACTTTCAGGTCCTTCTCTTTTGCTGCCACTGCCTCCTTATAAAGGCCACCTACACATGTTAAAAAAAATTGTCTGAGTAGGGTAGTGGCTCTTCATATACTTAGCAAAAATAGATCTTGTTAACTAGCTGAAAATAACTTTGCTAAGTAATGAGCAACTGAATTAATTTTGTATAACATAAGTAAATCTCTAAGGATATGACATACAAAGAGGGAATCACATAAATTTGGGTGCTCCCTCTGACTCTTTTCTCATACAGAGATGTGCTGAGGTATCTCAATAGTGTATTGGTACTGGGGGTATGCTAAATGTACAGTATAAGCTGTCTTCCACTTCCTGCATGTTGGCCTGCTTGTAATGACTCTCTCTAGTAAGCTCTTATATAACCCGATGAGTTACTTAAGACTCTCAATAAAGTTTGTTCCTCTGTTCAAAATTTTAGTCTTGACAGAAAACCTGCTTATGGATGCAAAAGAACTCAGTAAAGAGGGAGGGAAGTGGTCACAATATCACACTGGCACACAGAGGGCAGGCCAAAAAACAGGCCTAAACCAGCTAAAACTATGTTGCCTGTGTCAGAGCATTATTTAATTATTTCAGAACGTATGGTTTATTTTATGCTTGTTGCTGCTGCCTGGCTCAACCTACTGAAATTGATTCAAGACCCTGATCTAAGATCAGTGTAGTTCTCACTCCCTTGCTTTTGATCTGGAATATAAATATGGCATCTGTCCTGAACTCAAGCAGGCTATCGGTATTCTCTCTGCACTCTGTCCTTAGAATGATATAGATTTTTACATGTAAATATCAGTAAACATCAATTTCACAATACAACACACAATCAAAATTTACAAATAGGCAAAGTAAGAAAAATACTGCTTGAGAACTTAGTTTGATTTAAGGTTATTTACTCTGTATATTTTGAGGTGATGTTTGGCAATTTGTGTTTTAACAGTTATAAAGCACTAATTTTTTGAATCTCAATGTCTACTGTCAATTATTGTCTGACACCCCCCATTGCCTGACCCTCCTATAATTTCCTGCAACTGTAAACATTCATAGAATCATAGGACTGGAAGGGACTTTGAGAGGTCATCTAGTCTAGTCCCACTCATGGCAAGACTAAGTATTATCTAGACCATCCCTGACAGCTGTTTGTCTAACCTGCTCTTGAAAATCTCCAATGATGGAGATTCTACAATCTCCCTAGGCAATTTATTCCAGTGCTTAACTACCCTGAGAGTTAGGAAGTTTTTCATTTAAATAGACAATCCATAAAAAAGCTTAAAAATAAACATTGATATTATCCATCACATTTATAAAAAAATATTTCTACCCAGCCTACATATATCACTGAATTGCATGTGTATGTTCTCTGGAGATTCCAGAATCCTATAGTTATAATAACAACTCACACCACATATAGTATTGTCTTTGAGCTGGAAAATTATTAACCTGTGATGGCTCCAATCATACTTTTAGATCTGAAGTAATTGAAACCTGACTTTTTCCAGGCCATAGCCTACATCTATTGCTAGGCTACAATCACATCTCTTGTAGCCAGGGATTCTGTTTGAGCATATTGACCAATACAAGTGATTGTATTTGCAATTTACAGAAGCGTGCCATTTTTCATAGATGTAAAAAATGCCAGAGCACCCATTTAATCATTTATGGCTAGATTTTGATACCTTTACTCATACTGAGTAGGACCTTACTCCACAAATAGGCCCACTGAAATCAGTTGACTACTATTGAGTGTGAGTAAGGGGATCAAAATCTGTCCCTCTATAATTCTGATCCCCATAAGGCAAATGAGACACTATTAATCTTAGGCATTACAGGTAACCAAATCAGTGTGAAGTAGTGAAAATGAGCCAGAATCAGAGCTGAAGTATTATGTGTAGCCTGAGTGAAGTCAAGCATCCAAAGTTACTATACACAACTTTACTGAGCAGGCAGATTAGTGGGATCAAAATGTTCACGTTTTCCAAGTTTAAAAGTAGACAATTTGTTTTCCTCAGGAAGAGACGGCAAAGCTGAGTGGCATTTCCTGATTGGACAATTGCTAAATTATTGTTTCATTAAACAGCTATATCATAGTCCCTGTGGAATGGCACCAATGGAGTGGCATTTTCTGGATTGTTAGGTGATGATGAAATACCACAGTCCAGCATGCATGTGGACTGTAGTGTTGCTAAATAGATAACTTCTTTGGAAGATTTACCAGAAGGGATGCCATCATCTTCTGAAAAGTAGCTGATAGTTAACTTGCCCTCTGTAGTTAGAGACACTACCTTATCTACTAGCTGAAAGTAAATGTCCTACAAGACATTACCAAATTTGAGGGCCTAGTTCATGTGACATGTTTAGTAATATCCTTTTCCTGGAGCTACTGCAACTCTTACCTTAAAACAAGGTGGAGGAGTTCTAGCCATTCTAAGGATATGTCTACACTGGAGCTGGAAGGACTAAATTCCAGCTTGAGGAGACACCCCCTATCCCCACTAGCTGTGATTGAGCTAGTGCACTAAAAAGGGGCAGTGCCAGCATTGGGAGGAGCTAGCTGCTCTGAGTGTGGACTTATGGTCTCAGATAAGATCATACTCCGAGCAGCTCGCTCCTCCTACCACCACAGCTACCACCTCTCTTTGTAGAGCGCTAACTCAATCACAGCTAGTGTGGCCATGTGGAATTTATACCTTCTAGCTCTAGTGTAAACATATCCTAAGAAAATTGCTAGATAAGTCAGTTCAACCAGTCTTCATGACTCCTTTAACTTGAACGGGCATGAAGTTTACAATGTTCAGTGACAAAGGACAAAGCGCAAGATAGGTTGAACTTGAATTACACCCATGTCAATAATTAATGGAATGACAACATCAGTACAAACATGGCAAACTTGAAAGTGCTGAGTCTGCGCATTGAGTCAACTGGAGTCAATTCACCATCAGGCATTGTCATCTCAGCTTGTAGGTATTGGTTTCACATGAGCTCTCTCTGAAATAGCGCTCAAAAGATTTAAAAATACCACAGCAGTGAGGTGCTAGGCCATATGCCAAGCAGGACCCTGAAACCATGGGCAGACTCAGCTCAGTTCATTTAGCATGCTGGTGACTTGTGTTCTCTTACATTTTCAGAGACTTGATTATCTGGATGGTAATCAAATTACATACAATATTTACACACATGAGTGATGGAGACTTTGTCACTGGATAGCTGGATCTGTCTTTTCCATGCTTGCTGGTCCAGCACTCGCTCCATATCCATTCTGTTCTCCCATATACAGTCTATCAACCATTTTCTTGGCAGTCTTCTTATTCTCTGCCCAGATTTTTTGAGTGTACATAATTACCATTGATACTGCACATTTAATTTTGTCTTTATACATAATATTGTCCATGAAGCTAGGGATGTGCAAATAGGGAAAGGGGGGAGGGTTTGAGCAGGCAAGCAACGAACATGCTGGCCAAGGATGCACACATTGCATCCCACTGCTTTTTCCATCTACCAGCACACACACAGAGATCCAAGTTGAAGATACCCTGTTGGGGGCAGGGAGCTGTCACTGTGGCAGATGTGGTCAAAGACTCCTGGCAATCTGTTTCCATTGGCGCCACACTACCAGGCAGCCAGGGCAGAGCTATGGAAGGCCCAACCTGCTGTGGAAGCACAAGGCCTATGTATGGATGACCCTGTACCTCTCAACAAATATTTGAGCTACACACATATCTTAGGGTACCCATGATGTGGGCCATTGCTTCTTTCCAGGTGGGGGCAAACTCTGTTCCCTGATGGGAAAATTCTAAAAGGGCGACTGTGCGGAGTTTCCTGTGCACTACAGGGTGTTACTGTACAGGGGTATGACATTGAACAAAACATATAAAAATCCATCTTCCTAGAACAGTCCTTCTGTAAGACTTCTTGTCCCTAAAACGGGTATGAAAATAGCTTTCTATCATGTTCCTGATTTTTATTCCCAACCCACTAATTTCATAAAAATTAAATCAATTTGCCTGAAATGAAACAGGTGCACTGTTTATGCCAGGGTAGAAGTCTTCTGGAAAGAAAGTCTTTGGGAGATATGAGGATTCCAGAAAATGAGGTAATTTAATTTCTTGAAAATATTCCTAATGCTTTTTTGGCTCATCATAACACCAAAATATATTGGCCTAAACACTGCAGATTTGTTTTAATCTCTTGCTTTTTTATGAGGACTGGTGGTTTTGGCTAGTTTGGGAAGGCACTTAAAAGGGTAATTATGGCCTGTATTAAAAAAAAAAGAAATAATTTATGCATTTACAGGAACCCTGCACATTGACTTTTATGAAGCTTGGGCAGCCGACTCAAGCCAGATGTCAGCTTCCTGAACTGCACATCAGTTCTCTACCCTGAGACTCTGCATGGTGCAGCTGCTCTGATGCAACCTTTAGAACGTGCATCATGCATCATTCTTGTGGCAGACATGATATATATGTACACAGACTACTTTCAGAAAATCATGAGCAGAAGCTGCTGGTTTTCTCAACCACACAACAGCTAAGAGAAGGAGGTGAGCATGCTTTATTGGAGGAGAGGGATGGAGGGCAGAGATGAAGTCTGATTGGATGGCACAACAGGGGAAAGAATGAGATTCAGAAACCAGCTCCTCCCAACCTGAGAAGGGGTGGCAAAATCTGGAAATTCAACAAACAC